AGAAATAATGTGTGAATAATATTGTTGATTCGATTAAATTGTTATAAAAACTAAATTGTTAGTTTTACGTCAATTTCATGATATATTAATTTCTTTAAATAATTAATTGAGAAAAGTTTGGTGGAATTTTGTTATTTCCAATGCAAGAAAGCTTAAAGGATACTTAAGTCGTTGGTGTTTATCATTTATATATTTTCAATTTTTTTTATTTTACTTAAAAGGAAATTTTCTCCGCTTATACTTATCCTTAGCAAAAGTGAAAAATAAGCTTTATTTGTGAAAAAAAAGCTTGATTTTTCAAACATTCAATTTTTTACACTCCTTTTTTTCAGTTTGAAATTTTCGTGCTTCTGTAACACTTTCTCTCTACGACTAAAATCATAATAATACATGTTTTTGTTTGACATAATAATTACATTCTCGGACTGAAATTTTTTCAGGATATTGTTGGACGTGGTGAGAATCAAAATGCTTCTGTCTCTGTCTTACATTTATTAATTTTTTTTGGCCCACAAGGTTTATAAATGTCAAGAGATGTGAAAACTTTCTTTAACCCGAAAAGCACTCATGTGAGGCTTGAAGGAACATGGAATAGTTATTTTTTTTACATTTGAAGTCATTGAGCATCTGTGAATATTCCATGACCAGAAACAATTGAAAGAAAAAAAATACAAAACAGTAACAAATAATTAACCGAGTAGCACCAATGGCAAACCTCTATATGTAGTAGTTTTCCACCTTTACCGACCCACGTAAGACGTAGGTACAAACATATACATTAATCAAAATAAGGACATTTTAAGAAATGTCAAAAGAGATTACGCATTATATATTAGTATTTATCTTTTAATTAAAATGCTTTTGTTTCCTAGCTTAGCAGCTTCGGATGTTTGTTTCTTAAGGCTTTAATGTTCCATCAATTGTAGTAGTCTTCTTCCAAGTGGCAAATTGCTTCTCAGCCTTCACACACATACACATGCACTTGCAGAGAGAGAGAGAGAGGATAAGGGATACTAATCAAAGAGAGATGTAGGAAAACACCCTTTTCATGGTTAATTGGATACAGCTTTGAACCACAACATGATCATCATCAATAATGATATTAAGGACCTATATAGAGTGGAGGCGGGGATGGGAAACCTAGTTGAGAATGTGAGAGCTATAACCACTAATAAGAAGAAAAAAAAAAAGGTAGAGCCCCACTAATGAGAGTTCTTTCATAACATTTTTTTTCTCATCTTTTTATGACACCAATTACTTTATCTTACCTTCTTTTTATTCTTTTTTAATCTCTTTTATCGTCGTATAACTTTTTATATAAAATTTTTGTACTAACATAATGTTTTAATTAAATTTTATGAGTTTTGTAGCCTGAACTTTAGGGTATCTCCCCAGCACAAGGGGAGGAAACTCTAATTAATTTGTCTTTGAATAACTATCGCAAGTAAACGCAAACATGTTTAAGGGCCACGATAGTTGTGGTGGGTTTCGATATAGACACCCTCTTTACAACAATAAAGCAACTAATGATCAGCTTCACATGGACCTCACATGCTCTCCATTTAATAACCACAGTGCATTAGCAGATAGGGGGTGTGTCATTAGTTTTTCAATTTTTGCTCATTGTTTCTGTGTATTGCATGGGATCGTGGATTCTTAAACAAATTTCAAGGTCCTAGGTCAACGTACAAGTATGCATCTTTGGAGTAAAAACCCTCTTAAAATATTAATAAAATTATTTTATTAATCTTAGCACTTAAGATTGAGATTAAACATTCAAAAACAATATTTTTATCAAAAAATAAAATATTTATTACATTAGAGATACAAAAGTATCATAAATACTTTTTTTAATAAAAAATAATACTTTACATACTTAAATCTAACCTTAAAACTGAAATTATGAGAAGAGATAAAAAAAATGTGTAAAAAAATAACTTTAGAAAAATGTTTTCCTAAGAAGTTACAACACATGGTTAAACTATTTTCTCCGTCTCACAGTCACTCTTTTTTTTTTTTTTTTTTTTTTTTTCTATTTTTGTTGTTTTTAAAGCTTCTAATCTTAACACCATTTTATTTGGTTCAGTATTAAAACTAATACGTTTGGTAGCGTCGATGGAATTATCAAATCGACCAAATTAACAATTATCAATTACTTAATATGGTGAAGCTTAAACCAATTTATGGATAATGTAATCGCCCACGTTTAGTTAAGGTAGAGAAACATATAATTGTAATGTAATGCAGAGGACACTGTCGTTTCGTGTAGCTCAGCCACTCTCGATCCGCTAATGTTAGATCCTTTTATCGTGTTTTTTCCCTGAAATTAAAATTTGTCTTACAGTTTGTTTTGTTTTATCTCTCACACTCAGATATATGCTTATGCATCAAACATTTTCTAGGAATCTAATGGTGACCAAAGAGACACAAAGTCATTGGAAAAAATTGAATTTCTCGCCATGGTGAAGAACTTTGAGAGGTGTTTCTATCTCAGCATAGTTATCAATTTGAGCTTTAATTATTATATCTACTTATTTATCTTTTTTACTTTATAAATTAAGTATTAAATAAAAGAATGCATATTTAATATTTGCTTCATTTTAATAATTAGGATGATTTGTAAGGATAAAAAATAGGGAATTTAAAAATACTCTATCAATTTATCATCTTCAGTGTACGATTTGAATTTTATGCTGTGGCAAATTGATGGAAAATGACATTGGCTACAACATAGATGATGGGAATGGGAACCTTTCTCACGAGCAGTATTAATTGCAATGTGTGGCATTGATTGGACATTGCATAACACTAGGCAATTCACAAACCCTATTTATGCGTCACGTTTTTCTGTACAATGTGCAATTGTCTTGAGCAAAGTGGGCATAGCACATGAAAAAGCAAGAAGAATGGTCCCTTCAAGTAGTTATTGAAAATTCCATTAAAGTTGAATGGCATGAGAAACTAGGCCATGGGGTCCTATTACTATTAGGTTGTGAGGAATAGCAAGATATCAAGGTACACTAGTTGGTCCATATGAGTGCTATGGTGAAGATGGGTACGCATGCCCTGATGCTAACCCTTTTGGTGCAACATATTAGATGAGTACCCTAAAGCACATGACCCACTTTTGAAAAACAGAAAATAGACCCTCCCCCCCTCGTGTTCGGAACATCTTACTCGTTTGGTAATCACAAACAACATTTTACCTTATATGTATTGAACTAGGCCCCATGTTTAATTGTGTGGAGTGAGATCTTTCATCTTCCAACATATGTACCATCTTCAACTTTGGCTAAGGTACTATGGATGAGTTATATGTCACACAAGTACGTAGATATTTTATGGCTTTTGTCTTTCAACCACTGTGAATCACAAATATGCAATCATGCGGTGTACCTTAGAGGTCTGCTTTTCTTTTATGCTGTGGTGACAATCATTCTTCCAAAGTAATATTGTTTACAAGTGAGGTTTTAGTTAAAGTCCCTTCTCAATTTCATCCACCTTAAGTCAACAATATGTTCAATCATTTTTTATAGTACATTTTAATTCATTTCTTGATAGTAATATTTATTTATAGATATGTATCGAGTAAGATTTACTTTGTTTTGGAGATTGAACAATTCATCAACCTCCTAATTTTTAATTTTAAAAAGTAGTTTAAATCAAGTATTATTTTTACACGATAGAGTCATACAGAGTCTTATTTTGACTCTATTTTAGTTTAACAGAATGAAATTTGTGGTAATACACTTAGAAAAAGTAGGTGTGCATGGTTAAAAAAGGGCAAAACTATAAAAAGCGGTATTACTCTACAATTTTTTTAAAAGGACCTTGACTTATCTTCTTTTTTATTTAATTTCTGAAAACTTATAGAAAATATTTTCTTTGGATCTTAGTTTCTGAATGTAAATTTCAGCCAACCGGGTAGGGCCAACGGAGTATTTTTATCTCTTTCTTCTTGGTCAAAGGGCCAACACAATCTTTGTGTATTCGAATTTTCACAACTTTTTTCCTAGTTTCTTTCTTTTTTCTTTTTCTCTTTTTTTGGGTCAACCCATAGCTCTTTTCTCATATGAATCATTTTGGACGTTTTTCTGGAAGTGCGATTTTAGACCCCAAGGTGGAGTAAAGCCTGGGTTGAGTCTGGGCCGCAACTCATTGTCTAGTTAATTACGGTCACTATTGTGATGGATCTCGTCTGTTTTAAGATGTTTGTCTACATAAGATTAAAGCCCATTACAAGAAAGAGAGAGATAAATCACCAGTCAAATTGGGTCCAGAAAATCTCATAAAGTAACCAACCAACATCGACACTCATTTAGGCCCAATTGGTAAAATTAATTCGTACACTTATCAACAAAAATATACATTATAATACATTTTTTTCTCTCAACTTTTTGCAAAATCAGTCCTCTTCATCTCTATTCCAACGCCAAACTAAAAAAAAAAAAAAAAAAAAAAAACTCGTAGTAAGTAGCAAAGTCCGTAAAAAATAAAAAAGAAAAACAGATGATCTAGTAAATAGAAGTGTGGGTTCGGCATACTCCCATCACACAGATTTCTAGGTTTTGCTGTAAGTTTAGCCCACCAAATCAATTGTAATTCTTAATTCTAGCTAAATTTATGATGGACCGTAGATAAAAGAAGGGGAGGGAGGGGGGGGGGGGGGGGGCTAGATTTAAGAACTAGAGCTATATACTTCGGCAATTTGTCCACTGAGCTAAGTCTGAACTCTAAATTTTTAACTCATGGGCTAGCTCAGTAACTTAAGAAATGAACTGTAGTCATGATAAGAAAATGAAACCACAATAAAGCACTATAATCAAGCTTCACTCGAGCTTAGCATATTCCTGAATGAAAAACAAGTTAGTTCATCACACATACAATACTAGTTGATATGGAATAATCAAATAATTTATTTAAACTTCAAAAATTGAATATTATAACTTAGCAAAATAAGCTGTCAACTTATTTTTATAAATCTCACAATCAAATTGATAACAAACCTTCATGTAATATAAGTTTATTAAATAATTCCTTAAATACATTATTTACCTAAACAGTTTATTTAACATTTTCCAACGGTTGGTGATTTTTCAATCTGAACTCCACTAACAAAAGTTAATACGTTTAAAGCACTAACTATAGATAGAATATCAAACGCACAAATAAGATGAAGTTCCAAGCGAAAACACATACAAGAAATCAATCTATACAAGATCATGAACAGGTTAGGAATCCAAGTCATAAAATTTCACTCGACTAAGCGGGACACGCAATTTTCTTGCTTAAGTTACAAGTTTCCAACATTTGCCATTACCTCCACACACTTGAGCCTGCACTTGCCTTTGAGCAGCCAACTGCTTCCTGATCAGCTGAGCTTCCACTAAACATCTGTGAAGAATATGTCCCACTTTTCTTCACCTTACCAGGAAATTCCTTGCTTATATTACCCTTCAAAGAAAGGTTCTTTTTTATACGATTTCTATTAAGTAGGAACATAGCATTGCGTGGTGGTGCATGAAGAGCCCCTTCAACACAATCACCCACCTGTGCACAGCCCCAAGGTCTTGAGGGTCCATCCTCACAAGATTTAAGCCGAGGAGGACCATTTCTTGATCTCAAAAGACCTCTTTGATCAGTGGAATTTTCCTCCTCCAATTTGACACACACAGGGCAAGGAGGATCACTTTTCCGGGTCTTTGGCGTTGCCTGCTCCAAACATTCAGCATGAAAAGCATGACAGCAAGGAAGAACCCCAATTGTTGGCATGTCTCCACTTCTCACAATACGGCGGGAACTCCAAGGAGATCTCTGTGATAGAAATCTTTCACACAAACCACATCTAAATCCATCTGGAGGAATATGTGGGTGACCAGGCGTTTCTAATTCAAATGACTCGGTAACATCAGCAAACTCCTGACTACTGCTGGCACTACTCCAATGCTGGCCATCTCTGAGTGGGGTAGAAGTATCAAACTCTGTAAAATCCGTTACTGCAGGATCAAAGGCATCTCTAGCAGTTGTAAGGTGGTCATGAAAGGACATAGGATGAATGGGTTTAGAGATGAAGGAACGATGATTAGAGAAATTCCTCTGAGAGGATAAATGTGATTTTGTAGTAGACTCGGATTCACTACTTTCTGATTGAGATGACATTGAGCCCCTGCTATTGGGATTTGCAGATGTTCCCTGCAGATATTTCATACTTGTCAGTCTATTTTAACGCCTGTTAACTAATTGCATAACAAACACAAACTTTTTTATAGTAGCCCTTAACCAAAAACATACCTCCTTAGTGGGAATGAAAGATACCCGGCTTGCGGAAGGATGAGACTCTATGAAAGTACAAATGAGAAGGAAGCAGTTCAATAAGCAGAATTAACAACAAACTTCATAATGAAAGAACAAACCACAAAGAATACTAACCACAGCAGTTTTATTGTTACTAATATCACAACGATTTAACAGTAACCATCAACTGTCAGCCCCAACATATACACAGGCACACATTAACAGACAAATTATTATCCAAAGTCAAGGTGCTCAAGGAATTCCATGATATTAAAGGGAAAGGAAAATTCTTAAATGACTAATTATAAAAAAGGTCAAAGCTATGAAAATCAAGGCAGAATTAGAAGAAATCGCGGCTTGATTCTGTACTAGAATGCCAGATTTATCAATGTATGGACCTCCTTTTGATGGCATCCTACAGAACATCTGTTGATTCAGAGATACCAGTTCAGCTCTGTACCATTTGATGTAAGATCTAGCTCTACAAACAAAATGACCAAAAACATTATTATTGTTTATTCTTTCTTTGCTTTCCAACTAAAGGGGAGAAGCTTTCACAGAACTTATTTGAGCATATGAAAATAACTTATTTTTAGCTTATTTTAATATGTTTCATGGACATATTTATGACATAAGTTATCATGTCATAAGAGCTTACCTTTTCTGTACTTAATTAAGTTGTTTACAAAAACATACCCTAAATGTCAAAAGCATTATCATAACAAGAACAAAATGAATATAGCAAAAGTGTTTTACAAATAACCAACAAGATGGTTGAGCGGTCTTTTTTTTTTTTTTCTGAACAATTTTTTTCAGTAGGATAGACTTGGAAGAAACTTGAATATCTAGCAGTAAACAATTATACCTACAATAAAATTAACTACCATTCATACAGAAAATGAACTGACAAAAAAATAGTAATACTTCCTTTTACTAGACTGTAGATGAATAACTCACATGTAAATGGGCACTCCAACAGAAACATTTTTAACCTTCTTTTGTGTTTTATTATTTATTGTGCATTCAATATAGTATTAAAAAGATGTAGTTTGGCTGCAACCTCTTCAATGTCTTGTGAGTATTATTAAGGCTTCAATACCCTACATGTAAATTGTCTTTTACCTAAACAGCAGTTAGTTTCTGAATTTCCTTTTAATTTTAATTATATGAAACAATCAACCCTGAGTTAGAATACCGTAGCAACTAAAAAAATCAACCTCAATTAATCTTTAAAAACCATACCTATCGCTTCCATATAGGATTTGTTGACCTAAATGCCTAAATAATCTGTTCAGAATCTGCAAACTCTAGTGATCTTTTCATATTTATTTTTAATTTTACACTTAAATTTCAGCTGCTTTCCTGAATTGTAATTAGATTGGTTGTTTTCACCATTTATCGTTCAAATGATGAAAAGCCAATACAGCTCAAACATTGCTTGCTTGCTGCATCCCCCATAATTGAAAGTCCAGTTTTTTAAAAATAAATATGTACAAAAGCAAAATTTGCAAAAAGTTTCAAAAAGGACAAAAAAAAAGAAAGAAAGAAGAATAGGTCCACTATATAGACCTTAGAGAATGTATAAATCATCTTGGCTGCAAAGTTCTACATGTTGTCTATAAATGGAAGCAAACATCCCATTTTGAAAATTCACATATGAGGATTTACCTTTCCTAGTCAATGTTTCATAATCGTCAATACTTATTTCTTGTATTGCTGGAGGCGTCCACTGAGGACCCTGAGAAAGGTCAGATGGACTGCTAAGGAAAATCCCTGTACCATCTGAAGCAGAATAGTGAAGATCATATAGGTGGTTTCCTCTGACCCAGCCTCTACTTTCTTTACCATTTGATGATGTAGAAGACCCGTATAGTTGCATACCATCATTCACACCATACGGCAGCCCTTCAGACTGGAATCTGAAATCCCATCTTGTTGGAGGTGGTGAGAAACTGGAATTCGTTCGCCAGTAGGGCTCATTTGGACCCATGGACCAGTCCCTACTGCCTGAATTTGATCCATGTGGCCTTGAAGCCACACAACAAAGCGACCCCGTTTTAGCTATTTTTTCAGAATATCACAATAAGGCCAATTCTGAATGCTCCCAAGACAAGCTATTTTAGTCACTAGTTAAGTCAGTAATCATATGCTCAAGATTAATGCATCCAAAATAAGTTACAATTCCTCAAGCTGAACAATTCAACATTCAATAACTTCCACCTACAACCCACATGTCAAACGGAGACTAAATTCCACTTACAACACGAGCTCCACCATGAAAATCCTACAATCAGAAGAAGAGGAATGAATGGCATTCAGCATCTAAAAAGGGGGGGGGGGGGGGTGTGACGACACCATTCCAAACACACAAAAACAGTAATAATAAAAGCTAAGTAAAATACAGTAAACTAGTAAAGCTATTTTCAGTGGTCATATTAACTTCTAAACCAAAAACATCAAATTAGTTAACAAAATGCAATAAATTCAAAAAAGTTACATCTAAATCACAGAAAAAGAATTTTAAAAAATAAATAAATACCGTCACAGTCAGTTAAGGCAAAATCAAACACAGTGGTAAATACCTCACATTCACGCAAACAAGAACATAGCCCAACAATCATAACTGCAAAGAAGCTACATTTCAATAAAATAAATCAAATGTAACTTTACCAAACATACAGCAAATATATATATATATATATATATATATATATATATATATATTTTAAATCAGCAACAGAAAGAACATAACAACAGCAATTAACTTACTTGTTAAAAGGAAAAATCGTAGAAACTCTAGAGAAAACTAAAACACAGCAAAAAAAAAAAAAAGTGTAACAAAACCTCGTACCGCACGCGTGGCAGGACATTGACGCACGTGAACACAGAGGGATGGAAAAAATTGCGGAAAACCGAACAATTATACAATATCTGTAGTTACAGAAACGAAGGAATTTATTTAATTTTTGGGAATTGAGAAGTGGGTTGCGTTGTTGTATTGAGGTAAAAGCGAATTACATTTGGAGAGTGGGTAGCGAAGAAAGTGAAGCTCTGAAAACCCTAACTAACACAATGAACCAAATAGAAGAAGAAAGCAAAGTGGTTGAACAGCTGGCATCCGCATCTTCTGTTCTGATGTTCTAATTTTCTCCTATTCACTGTTTCAACTTTAAACGCGCCGTTTCCACGGCTCTTTTTCTTTTTTCTTTTTTAAATTATCAACTGTATTTATTTGTTTATGGATTTTTTTTTTTTGGTTATACGCCAATATAATGTCACAAGTTAATGTTTTTTTACGGTTGACATGAAATTTTAAGAGTATATTTTTTAAAATCAAATTTATATTTTCTTTTGTTCAAAATCAAAGACCAAATAAAATGACTTAAGATTAGTCCGTTTCTTGCACTTTGTGATTACCGTTAATCCAAAGAATTTTTGCACATAATAAAATCCAAAGAATTTAAATAAATCAATTACATATGAACCCTTCGTGTTAAAATCAAAGTCACATGTAATATCTCCTTAAATAAAGTTACGTTAATTGTCTGTACAATCTTTAAAGCATTGTTTATGATTAAATCATGTGTACCTAGCTATAGAAAAAATTGGTATTATGTAGTTATTAAGTTTATTTTTAAAATGAAAATTAACATATATATTTTTAGGATTAATTATATTTTGTTTGTTTCTTTATTAGCTTACATTCATCTTTACTTTTTTTTTAAAACTTTTTTAGCTAACTAATAATTTATTTAATATTATAATTAAGCAAATTTAGTTCCTTTATTCATTTTATTATACTTAAAATCCTTGATTTATTATTTTTTCTAAACATTTGAATTATTTGTAATAAATTATTATAGGAAATAATTTAAAATTTAAAATAAAAAATAAGTAAAATTTTTGACAAAATTTTAAAAATCTAGATGTGAAATTTTAAGGTTTTAAGCAGAAGAAAATTAATAAAAATTTGAATTTGAATAATTTTAAAAAGATAAAAACTTAATTAACGCACAAAAATGAAAGAAACTAAAATTACATATATACTAAAGGGATAAAAAATGTAATCACTTTATCATTTTAAAAAAGAGTTGGGTGCTGCTAATATAAGCTTTGGAGAGACCTCTTGACTTTTCGTTAAAGCCGTTAACTTTTATTTTAAGAAGATTTGTTTTTGGTCGACTTCTTTATTAAGATAAAAGCTTTTCACTTTACCAAACGGATATTTCACTTTTTATTGTCATGTTCTTACATGTGAGCTTGTATTATCAAATTTAAATTATTATAATGACACTGTACTTTCTTATTTATTGGAAAAGTACAAAATTTAATATATGTAGTTTTACATAAATTTGATAATAAAAATATCATAACAAGAGTAAGGGTTAATTTTAATATCCTCTCTTCGTGTATAAGAAGTAAGGAAAAAAAAAAGTTTTTTTAAAAGCTTTCAAATATTGTGGACTATTAATTAAGATCAGATGATTAAAAATAAAAGAAAGAAAATCAATGATTTAAGTTATATTTAGGAAAAGATATATTAGTAATTTTATTTTCTCATTCTGATCCTCTTCTTCCTCTTTGCCTTCCTTCTTTTTTTTGTCAATGTTAATAACAGAAATGTTATTCAAAAAAATGTGAAAAAACATTAAGAAAAATTGAAAAACGTTGGAATTTTAGAATCTAGTTTTTCTAGACCACCTTTGGGTATTTTGGTTGAACATATCTTAAAAAGTTATATGAAATAGACATATAATTTGCATAAATCTGAGTTTTGTGTCAAAAGTTATACACCTTTAAAGTTCACGACGTTAAAAAGAACTATTATTAAAAAATTTCACAGCTTTATGCATCAGTTTTATGCAAGAACCGATGTAGAAACAAACTTTAGCTATCTACATCAATTCTTTCGTAAAACTGATGTAAAAAGTATGACGTTAAGACCTTTTAAAAGGTTATATGAAAGAGACGTAATTTCCATAAATCCTATTTATGTGTCGAAAGTTATACATTTTTAAAGTTTACGACATTAAAAAGTAACACTATTAAAACAATTTCACTGCTTTCTGCATCAGTTTTATGGAAAGAACGATGCAAAAACAAATTTTAGCTTTCTACATTGATTCCCTCGTAAAAATAATGGAAAAAGTAGTGATGTTAAGACGTTAACTTCCTACGTAGGTTGGACAGAACTTAAAAAATTATTTGAAAGCGACATAATTTGCGTAAATCCAAGTTTAGTGTCAAAAGTTGTGAACCTTCAAAGTTCGCGACGATAAAAAGTAACATTATTCAATAATTTTTCCTTCATTTTGCATTAGTCTTATAGAATGACCGATATAGAAAAAGATTTTAGCATTCTACATCGTTTTTCTTGTAAAATTGATGTAAATAATAGTGACGTTAAGACCTCAACTTCCTACATAGGTTGGACAGATCTTAAAACGTTATATAAAATAAATATATAATTTGCGTAAATCCAAGTTCTGTGTCAAAAGTTGTACACATTCAAAGTCTGCGATGTTAAAAAGTAACATAATTAAAAAAAAAATCCTGCTTTTTGCATCAATTTTATGGAAAAATTGATGTAAAAACAAATTATAGCTTTCTATATCGATTCCCTCCTAAAACTGTTGTAAAAAGTAGTGACATTAATGTGTTAAATTCCTATGTTGGTTTGATAGATCTTGAAAGATTATATGAAATAGACAAATAATTTACATTATACTGAGTTCTATGTCAAAAGTTGTGCACATTCAAAGTCCGTGATATTAAAAAGCAATACTATTAAGAAATTTTCACTACTTTATGCCTCAATTTTATTGAAGAAGAACCGATGTAGAAAAAGATTTTAGCTCTCTACATCGATTCTCTCGTAAAACTGATGTAAAAAGTAGTAACGTTCAAAAGTTAACTTCTTACGTAGATTGCACAAATCTTAAAAGGTTATATGAAAGAGACATATAATTTATATGAATTTAAGTTCTCAGTCAAAAGTTATACAACTTCAAAGTTCACAATGTTAAAAAGAATCACTATTAAAAATTTTCAATGCTTTTTGTATCAGTTTCATGGAAAGACCGATGTAGAAAAAGATTATAACTATCTATATTAATTTACTAGTAAAATTGATATAAAAAGTAGAGACGTTAAGACCTTAACTTCCTACTTAGGTTGGACAGATCTTAAAAAATTATATGAAACAAACAAATAATTTGCTTAAATCTGAGTTATGTGTCAAAAGTTGTGCACATTCAAAGCTTGCGACGTTAAAAAGCAACACTATTAAAAACTTTTTGCTGCTTTTTGCATCAGTTATATAGAAGGACCGATGTAAAAACAAATTATAACTTTTTACATTGATTCTTTCGTAAGACTGTTGTACAAAGTAGTGACATTATGACATTAAATTCCTACGTAGGTTGGACAGATCTTAAAAAATTATTTGAAAGTGACATAATTTGGGTAAATCCAAGTACTGTGTCAAAAGTTATGCATCTTTAAAGTTTACGACCTAAAAAAGAAACATTATTAAAAAAATTTCATTACTTTATGCTTCAGTTTTATGGAGGAACCAGTGCAGAAAAAGATTTTAGCTTTCTACATTGATTTCCTTGTAAAACTGATGTAAAAAGTAGTAACTTTAAGACGTTAAATTAAATGCCTACGTAGGTTGGACAGATCTTGAAAGGTTATATGAAACAGACATGATTTGCATTAATCCGAGTTCTACGTCAAAAGTTGTGCACATTTAATGTCCTCAAATTTTCACTGCTTTCTATATCAGTTTTATGGAAGGACCGATGTAGAAACAAATTTTAGCTTTATACATCAATTCCCTCGTAAAATTGATGTAAAAAGTAGTGGCATTAAGACCTTAAATTCCTACACATGTTGGACAGATCTTGAAATGTTATATGAAACAGACATATAATTTGCGTAATTCTGAATTCTTTGTCTAAAATTTTGCACTTACAAAGTTTGCGACATTAAAAAACAACACTATTAAAAAATTTCCACTGCTTTCTACATTAGTTTTATGAAAGGACCGATGTAGAAGAAAATTTTAGTTTTCTACATCGATTCCCTCCTAAAACTGATGTAAAAAGTAGTGACGTTAAGACCTTAACTTCCTACGTTGGTTAGACAGATCTTAAATGATTATATAAAACAGGCATATAATTTGCGTAAATTCAAGTTCTGTGTCCAAAGTTGTGCATATTAAAAGTCCGTAACGTTAAAAAGTAATACTATTAAAAAAATTTCACTACTTTCTGCATCAGTTTTATGGAAGAAACGATATAGAAATATATTTTAGCTTTCTACATCGATTCTCTTGTAAAACTGATGTAAAAAAATAATGACGTTAAGATCTTAACTTCCTACATAAGTTAGAAAGATCTTAAAAGATTATATGAAACAGACATATAATTTGCAAAAATCTAAATTCTGTATCAAAAGTTATGCACCTTTAAAGTTCACGACTTTAAAAAGTAACACTATTCAAAAGTTTTCACTGCTTTTTGCATCATTTTTATGGAAGGACCGATGTAGAAACATATTTTAGCTTTCTGCATTGATTCCGTCGTAAAACTAATGTAATAAGTAGTGATATTAAGACCTTAACTTCCTACGTAAGTTAGATAGATCTTAAAAGGTTATATGAAAAAGACATATAATTTGTGTAAATTATAATTCCATGTCAAAAGTTTTGCACCTTCAAAGTTCACAATGTTAAAAAGCAACACTATTCAAAAAGTTTTAATGCTTTTTGCATTAGTTTTATAGATGGACCGATATAGAAACAAATTTTAGCTTTCTACATAGATCCCTTCGTAAAACAGATGTAAAAAGTAATAACGTTAAGACCTTGACTTCCTATGTAGGTTCTTCCGTAGAAGTTATATAAAAACTAGTGACGTGAACTTTCTACATCAGTTTCTTCATAGAACCGATGTAAAAAGTATACATTTCTATATCAGTTCTCACAAAACTGATGTACAGAGTAGTGAGTTTAGTTTTCTTCATTAGTTCTCATAGAACTAATGTACAAAGTTGAAACATTAGCTTTCTACGTTAGTTTCTCTATAGAACCAATGTAGAAAATTGTGTTTTTTTTATAAATATATATATATATATATATATATATATTATGTCTTCTCTATTTTTACTTTTTTTCAATCACATTGCATCTTCTTCTTGGCTTTGTTGGAAGTCTTTCCCTTTTCGGTAAGATTTTTCAGTCATACCTCAATGTGTTTTTTGTTATACATATTGAAACTTAAGTTTGATTGATAGGGCGACGCATGTGATTCGAAAGAAATTTTGGAGGAAGCCACAAAGGAGAATGAGGAAAGACCACTGAGTTCCAATTTTGGCATTAGTAACAACAACTTTCTTTTTCTTAAAAAAAAAAAGTTTTTGAAACCAAATTATAGAATAAATAAACAAACTGGACAAAATCATTGTCAGGAACATGATAAACAAGGAAGGTAAAGAAATATCCAATGAAAAGGATAAGGATAATTAGAAAAACTCATTTTTAGATAAAATTTTATCTGATTTTAGAGTTTTTTTTTTTCAAAAAAATCTATATCACTATCAAACCTTAGTTAATTTTATTTAACCAATTTCAAAGTTTGGATAAAAAAAACTGGGAATGGAGAAAGTTGAAAAGAAATGAGAGAGATGAAGATGGAGGAATTGCATAAAGATGAAGAAGAAAGAGATAAAGAAAAAGTAACAATTCACTTATTTACCCTTCATTAACATCTTATTACCCAAAATAGTTATATGTTATTCTTAATTTTTAACTTTTTCACTAATTAATCTTAGCCATTTATTTTTTTTATCTCAATGTTAATTTTATTTTACTTATTAAAAAATATTTTTTTTACTTCTTGCAAAAGAAGAGAGGATATTAGAATCTCCCAAAAGTAAAAGATGAAGAATCAATATCTGATTTGGCAACTTAGCATAAGGCATTTTTTTTCCAGCGTAGACTATGGATTCTCTAAGCAAAAGGTAAGGGCGAGTTCTAATATCCCCTTTCTTTTGTAAAAAGTAAAGAAAAAAAATCTTTTGCAAAAGCTATCATGTATTATAGACCGTTGATTTTAATCGAACGGTTAAGAATGAATTACAAGATACCGATTATTCAAGTTAGATTTATGAAAGGATACATTGGTAATTTCATGTTTTTATTCTTTCGTAGTGTTTTGTTCCTCTTCTTCTTCTTGGTGTTGGTCATCTTGTTCTCTTCATTTTCAGTGTTATGTTGCTAATTTTATTTACAGAACAACAGGTGTGGAGCGTTTACAATGTTAAAAACATGAAATTTCAAATATTAAGTATGTATAAAGTTAAGATAAAAAGAACATCAGATTGTGGAGATTCAATATAAAAAGTAGGAATATCTTGATGGGTTAATAACTATGAATATCGGGTAGATTCAAAATCCACTGTAGAAATTAATGTTTCGGAAGAAAAATATTTCAACAACGGTGAGTTGCAATGTGTTTATTAATATTAATGTAGTGTATATTAAAAATATATATCTGGGTTACATATTTAAAAAGGTTGTGTAATGTGCAGTTGTACTTAGTCTCCCTCAAAAAGGGGGTGATTGTATTACTACAATGAAATTGGTTGTGCAGGTCAACGACGGTGAAGAAAACAATGAATATTGGATAATTTCTGCAAGGGTTCGAAAGTTAAAAGATGTTAAATTGTGGACAGAGTTAAACTTGAACAATTGTTTGTGCATCCTTTACATTTGCATCGATTGTGTTATAAAACAAATATGATTATGTGAGCACCTTTTATATTTGCGCATGGATTCAATTTGCATCGAGTCTGTGGCAAGTCTGATATCATTAGGCAACCACTTTATACATTTTTCGCATGAACTGTATTTGCATCGGTTGTGTTAGGTTTATGTCGCTAATTTTTACATCGGTTATATGAGAAAACCCATGTAGAACTTACGTTTTAATTTTTTAAACATACTTTGTAAAGAATTATTGCTTCGGTCATCCGATTCAACTAATATAGAAGTGACTTTTTCCAACCACGTTTCATGTTTTTCCAACCATGTCTCATTGGAATTCAGATTGATAGGCTAGTGCATGTAATTCAAAGGAAATTATGAAGGAAGTCACAAAGGAGAAATCTCATCTTAGTTAATTTTATCCAACAAATTTTAAAGTTTAGATGAAAAAAAAAGTCTGAGAATGAAGGAAGTTGAGAAGAAATAAGAGAGATGAACGGAGGAGTTGTCGTAGAGATGAAGAGAAAAAAGATAAAAGAGAAATAACAATTTACTTATTTATCCTTCATTAACATTTTATTACCCAATATAGTCATTTGTTCCTCTTAATTTTTAACCTTTTCACTAATTAATTTTAGCCATTCATTTTATATTTACAAATATCAACGGTTCAAAGTTAATTCCTTTTTACTTATTAAAAAACGTTATATTTATTTTTTACAAATAAAGGGAGGATATTAGAATCTCCAAAGGTAAACGGTCATTTCATGTTTGCTACACCAAAAACAAAGTAGTACCTGGCAAATTGTCGTTTTCTTTTATGATTAGGCATAAATATGGTGCAATTATTCTTACAATTTGCACAAAAATAAAATGGAACCTTCACCTACCATACTACAGCGGGTCCAATGCGTGTATCAAACCACTGCATAACTCCATTTGTTAGGTTAACCACAATACCCCACATTAAATACATATTATATATGTACATATTTATAGGTATACAATTAAAAATGAAAGGAAGCTGAATTTAAATAGTTATTCATAATAATTTTTTATTAAAAAATATATTTATTACAATTTTATATTTTTAATATAATAAATATAGTTTTAAAATAGAAACTTACTAATTTAAAATTTTTAAACTCAACTCCAAGTAATGATATCCATAATCTACATTGATATATAATTGCTGGGAACAACAACAATACAAGTAGTAAATGATCATGCCAGTGATTATTTGATGATAATGTTTAGAACACTTGGATAGGCGTACACATGAAACCAAGAGACACGGATCGTGACAAGGGGAATGGGAGCCTCCAGCACAGAATTCGGATTTATAAAAACAAGAGTGGTAGAATCCTAGGTGCAAAAATAAAACGTATTTGAGTAGTACACAAGTTCTCTCGTTTAGTGACATTCAAATCAAGTTAGAGATTATACAAGAAAGTTACCATACTTACTCATTTTTCTTTTTCTTTTTAATTTCAATTATATGCTTGATGATTTACAGGCATGCCCTCAATAAGAAGTTAACTGGCAGTAGAGGCTTCAAGAATAGAAAGAGGGGCCATTTACATGGTTTTTATGATGATATACCACCATAAACTAAGTTCAAAGCATGCATAACATGTACAACTCAATCATTTGGTAATGCAAGTATCAGTGCATGTTGAACTTGATGCTGATTTGGTGAGGACATACATGTACATGCTGATTTGTATTGAAACCTGGGCTCTATCTAGTGAAGTACCTGAAAATGGCAAAAATCTTTTCCAAGCAACCTAACTGGGAGGCTAAGTGGATCAAAGACGCTTTTGATGCTATTTGTAAGCTATTCCATATGCATGGGGGTTTATAAAGGTAGCACTAGATAAGAATGCCAAGTTTAGCTCAACACTTGAAAATCCCGCTCTGGATATACTGTTTCCTGTTTCCCTACAAAGGTGACACCCATCTGCAAGTGTCTGTTGTAAAGGATCAAGAACTCTCTGTACAAATTTGAGAAAAGTTCCATCTGTATATCCATGAAAAAATAAAAAGCTATTTACTAAGATTACCAGTTTCGATTTCAACAGCAAATTGAAAAGTTATGTTTACACCTTTTGCAGCCACATGTTCCACAAACACATAAACTCCACCGGGTCGCAGCACCCTCTTCACTTCTGCATACAAAGTGCAATCAATTTAGACAATAGACTTGAATTTCAAAGTGCTACACAATTAATGAATACACATGTGCACTTGCACAAACACACACACACACACACGTGTATGTACATACATACACGTGTAAGAAACTACCATAATAAAAAGAGTCGTACATATGCATAAGAAGTCTCTCTATATGCATGGCTTCTTAGATTAATTACTACATTTCTAATTGTTCGAAATAATCCAAAGCAGCATGATAGACAGGTGCAATGAGAAAATTAATACATAAGAAAATTGTAAGAGTAGATGAGTGCGATGTTTGTTGTTATTGGTTCATAGTAAAGTCACAATTGTTCTATTTTGTAATTTAGGTGGGGATACTATACTGTGACAGTTATATTATGTAAATAACAATTCCATAATATTTGTAATTATTATTGCTAGATATAAAACCATTCATGATTCTTCATCTAACAGTGTTGATTCTTGCTGACATTCATGACATGGCATCAAAGACTCTACAATCAAGCGGTTTAGAGTTTGATTCTTGCTATCCTCATTCTTCAAATGAAAAGTTGAATTTCAACACAAGGAAGGTGGTTGACACAAGCCTAGAGAACTCTCAAGTGAGAGGACATGTTAAAGATGTTAATATAAAACCATTATGTGCCTTCGCCATATAGATTAAGCTTTCAGAATAGTTGGTTCATGGTATAATTTATAACAGAAATATGATGTAATGCTGTAATATAACAGCTTTGTCCAAATTTATAACCAAACTTTCAAACAATCAACTGTTTCAGGACGAGAACAAGCTACACTGCAGCCGAAGAAATATAGAATTACAGAACCTATCTGATACAAACACAGACAAGAAAATTAATGTACACAATAATGAATCTAGTAAATGCTCCTCTTTGGTTGAAATGTCCTCTCAGCACCAAATCCAAGAGAAGTAAAACTATTTGAACAAAAACAGAAGACTTTAGTCTCATTACCTTTCAGTGTCATATCAACATCTTTAACAGAACACAATACAAGTGTTCCAACAACTGCATCAACAGAAGCATCACTTAATGGTATAGCCTCCCCGACCTAAACAGAGCCAACTTTAAAATTTGAACATCAATTAACACAAGCACAATCAGAAAACAGTAAACTGAATAAAACAACAATATAGAGGAAGATGATTATTATAAAAGAAACATCTCTATGACAAATGCCTGTTTCAGAAAATAAGAACAACTTTAAGATCAATTGGTAAAGTGCATCCTCTACTGATTATGATTTTAGACTAGTCATATTTCACTATTCTGACACAGAATAGTGACAATGTATCATCCACATTTAGCTTTGAAACCATACAGGCCCCAATCACCATAAGCACTAAGAGCATCTATAAACATGCGACTTTGTACTATATATTGTATACTGCTAACTAAAGGTTTTGATTTGAATAACAAGTTACAATCATTTAGACCATAACTTCTTCATGGCATGGTTCCTATTCCAATTTTAAAGTGAGGCTATCAATTAGTGTCGAGTGAGAATATCATACATACCGCCTGTACAAACTCAAAATGTGAAGGTGGCAATCCAGCCGATGCAGCCGAGGACCGAGCATAATTTTCCATCTTCGGATTCGGATCAATGCCAACAACCCCTACCTCAGAACCACCAGCATAATAACTGAGGTTAGGACCAGTTCCAATTCCAATCTCTAAGATTCTTAGACCATTTACTTTCAAGTTACTGAAGATTTGAGACTTGTACGGCGCAACCTTATTAAAAAGGAAACATTCCAAACTAATTTTACTTAATGCAATCACCACAAAAACATAACACGATAAAAAATAAATAATTAAAAAATAAACTTTAAACAAACAAACCCCATATAAATAATGATGAATGAACAAAAAACCTCAGCTTCATAAGACTTAGTAGTTGAATTCATGACCCAAGCATAGAACTCCTCGTACCAATCAGGTCTTGGTGGGTGAAACTTGTTAAGCAAAGCCTATAAACAAAACAAAAACTGAATTTTACCTGTGATGCCATCAAAAACATAATCTTTTGCCAGAATTTGAACTCAAAATGCAAATTTTTTCCTTTCTGTTATCTGGGTCAGTGGCAAAGAAGTAATCACCGTGTAGTCAGAACGTGGGTCGGTGGCTTTAGAGGGTTGAATTGGAAACAGGGTAGTTCCCAGAGTTGCAGCTTCAATGAAGTGCCTTCTCCCACAGAAGCACGGTTTGGTCGTGGGTTCCGGCGAGTCAGGGTAGAGAAACTCGGCGCTGAGTTTGATTGGTGCGTCCGAGTTGACTCGTTTTGGAATCGTACGAGACTTGAGGGTGGCTTCATTGATGGAGCAAACCGAAGCTTTGGGAGTGAAGGGAACCAAAGATACCGTTGCAGCAAGAGAAACACACTGAAGATTCATTTTTTGGCCTTTGCCAGTGAAACTATGATGCAATGTGTTATAGAGTAGTAATCCTTAATATCGGAATGAAATATAGATGGAAATCAAATAAATAATTAATGCATTTTTTACGTAACTTTTATAGCAGCCAGAGCTCATATGAGGTAGGAATGCTAATAGACTAATAGAGTAACTTTGATGGTTACTTTTTCCTTAGACAACTTGAGTTAAAGCTGGCCTTATGATTGATGAGGTAGGAGTTATACAGTTTTAAGAGTTATGTTATTTTTATAACACTTATATATATATATATATATATATATATATATATATATATATATATATATATATATATAAATAATTTATATATATATATATTATTTATATATATATATATAATTTTTATTAGCTTTGTTGAGAAAAAATTTAAAGAAAATGAAAAATAAAATGAAGTAAGACAAAAAAAATAATTATTTCTTATTTCATTCACATAAAAAATATTTATACAAGTGAATAAAAGTTAATAAGAGAAATTTAAAATATATATAATATATAGATATTTATAGTAAAGTTTTGTTAACTTCAGTCTTTAAGATTGAATTTAAATATTCACAAATAAATTTTTTTTATAAAAAATATATATAATTATTGTATTAAAATTATAAAAATATAATAAATATTTTTTAATAAAATTTTATTATTATTAGTTGCTTATCTTCAACCCTAAAAATAGAGCTAAAGTTAACAAAACTATTTTATAAAGTATTCACCAGCTGTGATTTTATGTCAAATTCATTTTATTTTAATATATTTTTCTTATATTTCTTTTAATTTAAAAAGTTGTAAAAAATAAAATATCTTTCTTCTTCTTTTTAAACTATCGCTGAAAAATTTTCAGGTCGTGAAGATCACTCTACAAATTAGACCATTTCACACAAAATGTGACAAGTTTATAGAATGACTTTCTATCAATTGATTCAATATACTTGTTCGCGTAACTTCCTTTTTTAAACATATTTACACGTATAATACTGAAAATAATGAGTGAAAAGTGGAAACTAACAGTTTTTTTTACCCTTACAATTCTTCTTTGGTATTTTAATTATGAAACTAATAATCATTCGTGGAACTAAAATTGCCCTTTCATGAACATTTTTTTATGCTCTTTCAGACCCCTAACATTGTAGGGACTCCTTTATTTTTGAACCTAAACTTCCTTATTACTCAAGCTAAATTGTCAGTGCATGAAAATCAATACTTGTTCTTTCATCGATATCCATCCCATTCCAATACTGAAAATGCTGAGAGTAGCTCCAAGAAAAAATGGCAGCAAAGAAAAAGTATGAACCTGAGAATATCTGAAGAACGACAAAAACAGAAGGAAGAGTTCACTAGAAATGCCTTGTAAACTCCTTGTTGCATTCCCAGTCTATTTTTTTTCCCTTCATTACTCTTACTTTATAAAAGTAATTACATTTTTTCTCTCGATGTACTATCAATTTGTGTAGCACTAATGATTTAGTTGACAAAAAATACCTTAGAAAACAAAAACAAAAACAAAATGCTTAACGAAATAAAGTGACAAAGTGTAATTGATGTTATGTTTTAAAAAGAAAACATCGCAATGGATGCACAAATAATGTGATGAGAAATTGAAGCATAATTGGATCAGTATGAATCAGAACACGTGCATCAAGTGCCTGCTTATATAAACTTAAAAACGGAATTTACCCAAATTACCGTGATAATTTTTTGAAAAGTAAAAAATTTTCAATTATGTGGCAGCAGAGTTGGCATCTCTATTCAAACAGGCCCTAAGACACACATATAAACAGTGTTCGACTGTAATATAATATATACTGAGTTTTTACAAACAGATTATTTTCTAGTTTCATATCCAATCTTATTATAGATTATTATATCATGTGAGATGTCAAATGTTACAAACGGCACAATCGTGCCTTCACAAATGAATGTAGAGATCAAGATCTCTCATAGTACAATCCTAGCACGTCATATAGTCCCATACATATCTAATTCATGGTTACAACTGCTTCAAAACTCCAACTTCTAGTTTTTAGCACAAGCAACTCTAATATGTAGGATTGTTTGCTACTAAATTCAGAGAAAAAGCATCGGTGTCAAAATGCAAATAATAGGTCAAAACCATAGTTATTAACGGCAGCTTTGGTCCTGAGCAGTATCACGTTTATCACCACCAACATCTTCAGTAGCACTTTGATGCTCTGGGGATGCATCATTGCTGCAGCCATCAACTGTCAAAATAGAAAAGGTACCTCAAAACAGTCACGAGTTCTAACACAGATTAAACTTTTTGGAACAAAAGAAATGACCCTGTCATTTGCTCATCATACCTTCACAATCATCTGCTGGAGCATAAGCTGAGCGCCTTGAGCGGGCCTGCTGTTGTGTTGGCTGATTACCACATGTGGGTAGGACCCCCAAGAAGGGAAACAGAAAACAAAACAGCAATGTCAAAAGAATTGGTTCAAATTTCAATGATATGCTTTGGAACACATTTATTGCAACACGTATCATATATGTTAGTCGTGTGATGGGCCAATGGTTATTTCAAAAACATGTCACAATAATGAATCCTGTTCCATGTTCTGCCAAAAAGTTTAGTTAAAGTTCACTGCAAATACAAGCAGAACTAGGACCTCCGTTGCACTAATGCCCATCAAAGTTAGTTTTGCATTGCTTGCATTGCACAATTTCAGCTTTGCAAAGATGTAATCCAAACAAAAAAAAATCGAGTCTTCATAATGATTTTGCAATTTAATCTGGGTCTATTTGGGGGTCTGGAACCATTGCAAACACTTAAAAGAGGCATGGAAGGAGGGGTTAAAGGAGGGGTAAATTACCTCTGTTATGTAAACCACCCCAAATGCATAAAATAAAGTCACCAATTGTTCATATAAACACAGAAAAGAAAACATCCACAATGCATAATTTTACCTGCAACTTTGGACGGAGTGCTTCAAGTGGTCCTTTAGGCTTTTGTGCTCCTTGCTATTTGAAAAATCATAGAGAAAAGCCAGAGATATCAGACATCTAAAAATATATGCTGAAGGTTAAACTGATATTGTTCATATTATAATGATAAACTGCTGCTCGAGGTTGGAAAATACCTTCCCCAAAGCCCAATCAGCAGAATCAAAATAGGCACGTTCATGATCCTGCCAAAATGTTATTATTGTTCATGAAGAAAAATCAGTTTCAAAGGAGCATTTCACACAAACACACAGACAATCAGACGATGAAGGAAGAGATGCATTGAAGAAGCAAGATTAGATATGAAAGTAACCTTTGATATTAGTGGAGGCTTCTTTGGCAACATCCCTCCATATTTTTTCTTGATAACTTCTTCCTGCAAGAACAAATTTACAGTAAATATATTACGAGATTAATGTCATGAATAACCACAAAGTTTATAAGAAATTTTAAGAAACCCTCTACCATCAAGGCATAATGTATTAAATGCTTAAGAACTGATTTCAGTAATATCAGAGCCCACTTAAATCTAAAAAATTTTCTCATTTAAAGGAAATACTAATATCTTGAAGTAATACACAGACTCACAATATGATTGTTTTGTGTAGAAGTAACCTAAATACAAGATGAAACAAGGACATGATCAAAGAACAAATTTTATACTTTTTATATCAAGTAACCTTTACATGAATCATCAAACGCTGCTGTAGACATACTACCAAGCACTCAGATTGTATTCTTAAACTATTGCTACATTTGAATCTGATGATCTGAGTGGTGCATGACCCATGTAACCGACCTCACTAAGTAGAATAAAACTTTGTTGTTGTTGCATTCTACATTTAAAAGGTTCATCTTTCTCAAAACAAAGAAGATAAAGAGTGACCAGAATAAGTAATATTTTACGGCATGTGATCAAGTTTGGCTACCAAACCCAAAACTAATTTTCTGTTCCTAAAATAATTCTGTTATTTTAATATCTCACAATTTCCCAAACTGAAAACCCGATTCCTACAAATTACCTTCTTTTACAAATACAAATAATTATAGTGAATAATAATTACCTCCTGCTGAGATGAGGGCATGGGGTTTTCATCATTTTGATCCTTATCTGAATCTTTTAGATCATCCACGGATTTTTCATTCTTAGAAGAATCATCAACAACCTCTTGATCCTTCTTCACATCCCCAACATCACCCTCCGACATTGCTTCCACCCTTTCCCTGCTCTACACACCCAACAATTGCAAAATTGAACAAACGCTCACCAAAAGGAAGCAACAAATTTCAATCTAAACAAACAGATGCAAGAAAAAAAAATCATAGATAATCATAAGAATCTTATTGATTTCAATCTCAATAACACGGATCAATCCCAATTAAACATCGAATGAAACTAAATTAGAATGAAAAAATAAAAGCACGAGATTATTGGTCAGGGATAAGAAAGGAAGAAGATATCGCAACGTATCATACCGTATCGTGAGAAGAGAAACTTTGGATCTGTTGAACGCAGAGAGAGAAGAGATGGTGTTGCGTGAATTTGGAAAGGAAATGAAAGTTAACTTCCAAAGTGCTCTCTGCAACTCTCCAACCAAAATACCATTGCAAGCATCTCCTATTGCGTTGCCAGTGTTTTTTTTTTTTTTTTTTTTTTTAATTATTATACATTTTTTAAAAAGAATTATTAAATTATCAAAGATTATAAAATATCGATAAAAATTGTTAAATTAGGAACATAATTCATATAATTTTTTTAATAAATTTTAATTAATGATAAAAAATATATTTACAAAATTTATTAGAAAGCATTTTGCTGATGTTTCTTTCATAGAATAAACCATTCATTAAAATATGTGGCTTATAATTTTAGAGTATATGTTAATTTTGGCTTTCTAAATATATGCTTACCATGGCATTAATCTTTCATTTATCGGCAACATCGATTCCTAGTACCAGCTTGCAATCATGGTTTATATTGTCAAATATTTTACACTATTCAGATGTGTTAAGTTTAATTAATAGGGTTTATTTTGTTAAAAAAATTAAAATTATGTTCAATAAAACTATATGGTAAATTAGTTAAATGTTGAAAAATTAATTTTTTGTTCAAATAAAAAATGTCAAATTAGTTTATTGAATTTGAAGTGTACAATAAAATAAATTATCAAATTTATTGATAAACATAAAATAACATAAAATTAAATGTTTATATAAGTTTATTTTATTTGTATACAAAAAAATATTTTTAAATAATTATAGTTTTAAGATTTTTAGTTAATATTAAACTTTTATCGTTTTCATTTAAAGATTAAACCTTAATTTTAATAAAAAAATATCATCTAATATATGGTCATATTATTTATATTTACTTATCACATTTATTTAGGAACTTTCTAATTTTATCTAACTCAAACTTAGGTCACTCACCTAAATTTGGACATATATTTTAACAATTAATTAAATGTTTTATTTAGAAATAAATTTTACATCTGAATGTATTCCAATAAATTTCTTTGAACTCGTGTTTAGTGTATCTAATGAATTAACTTAAATTTATATTTGATATATAAATATAATAAGATGCTGAAAAAATATCAATTCAACTATATTCTAATTAAGTTAACTTGATGAATATATATTTTAAACTAAATTAAGTGGTGTTATTATACAAAAATCAATTAGATTGGAAAAATTAATTATTTTAAAAAAATAAATTGTTTTAATCTATAAGTACTCATATTATGTATGCTTTTAAAGTGCCAAAATTGACATTTTATTTATTGCTAAAAATTATAAATATTGAGCATATACTATTTTACAGGATGTTTTCTTTTTGTAGATATAGAAAAAAATTTATTGAAAAAAATTAAACTCACATTGTTGATTTTTATACTTTAAGTTGGATTGTGTCTTAGTTGAAATGAATTTTAAGTTAATCATAACATTAGTTAATTCTAATATTTTTCCTAATCATAAAATGTACTTTGTTATTAAAAAAATTAAGTTATTGACTTTTTCTATTAAGATAGTTTGTATTTATCATATCTATATAAAGGTCAATTGCTGTGCAGATCATCTTACAAATTAGACTTTTTAGATGCATGAGAATAACTTGTTTTTCTAAAATAATTTGTTAATTGTTCTATTTTTTGTTGAGCTTTTGCTCCGTTGACAATAATAATAAAAAAAGAAATTATTCTCTAATTATTGGCTGGGAGATATTCATAAATATACACCCAAAAACATCATTTTGCAAAAAAAAAAAAAAATTCTTATAAAAAATTTAGCTTTACTTAAGATATTTAAAATGCTATATTGGGTAAGGAATAAAACATTAATTTGGTTCTATAGTTAGCATTATCGATCAATTTAATCTTTTATATTATGAAAATTTATCAATTTGACCTTTCAAACTAGCATCGTTGGTCAATTTGATCATTAATATTTGCGAAAACAAATTTAGTTCCTAACATTAGTATATTTAAGTAAAGTTAGGCCTGGTATTAGTGCAAATCAAGGATCGAATTAAATACCAAGACACAAAAGTAACATTAAATTTATTTTTTTAATCTTAAAAAAATGATTAATTATGTTTTTATCATAGTACTATAGACTAAATTAATTGGTAATGGAATTTCAATAATTAAGTTGACTAAAAGTTATAAAGTTAGAAATTAAATTTGTATTTTTGTAAAATATAGATATAAAATTAATAGATAAAATAATTTTAAGAATCAAATGATATTTTATTCCTTTTGGAAGATAAAAAAAAATACAGAAAATAAATAACCAATAATGTTGATAGCTTTTTTAATCGTATAATTTTTTTTAAGATACCTTCTAGTAATTTTATTTTTTTAATAGACTCTTTTATATATTTTTTCTGTTCTTAAATTTCTTTATAAGGGATAAACTGATAAAACAAAGTAACACTACAGAAAAATTAAATAACACAAAAAATGAAGTATAAAAAATTTCGTAACGTAAAAGAGATATAAGAGTAAATTGAAAAGGCGAGTAAAAGTATTTACCATTCTTTTTTCAAATTTAGTGTTACCCAGTAAAAGTCAAAATTTGGAGCATTTTATTTGTAACATAAAGACAAAAGAATGTTATATGCTTTAAGAATATCGATGTAGAAAACTTGAACTTAGAGCTGTGAAAGTGAATTAACCAAACATGACTGGTTCACTTCATTTTACAAAGTTAAGAAGATTTTAATTGACTCGTCAGATAAAAAATATATATATAATAAATAGAAAAACCAACAAAATATTAAAAGAAGTTTAACCCGTAGATTGAGCCAATTTACCATGAGTTATCTCACCTAATATGCGGATTAAGTGAGCCAAGTAAAAGCTAATTTAAAATTCTTGTGATTCATCTTTTTTCTAGCTCGCACTACTAAAATTGTTAAATATAAAATTTACGACTGTTTAAAAAAGTAAATGAAAATAGCTTATATATAATATTCATAATTTTGTAAACTTATTTTAATAAGTTTTTACTATAATTTATTAGAAATTCAAATTTATGGATAAAGAAAAAAAGCTTATTGAACAACTATTAAGTTACATCTCTTGGGATGACCAAGATCAAATGCATGAAGAGGACCCCCTGCCCCCTTTCATCATGTCACGAGAAGTGTCTATATCCCTCCCTTCCCATCTCACTCATAACTTGAATGCCCACAATCTCTCAGCATTTTTTGTTGTGTGTAAATAGTCCAAAACTATACTTGTAGAGGTCTAATGCCATTCTTTGTCCTTTCTATATTTTCATGTTCATCACTTCTTTGATATGAACAATTTCTGATTAACTTGTATTCATATGCAAAACTCACCATCATCTTCCATTGGTTAAGAATTTGGATCTTTGCCTAAAAAATTGATCCTGAAAAATTCCTTACACAACTTGCATGCTGTGCATGTGATGTGAGTTGCTTTCTTACTGACAAGTGCTGATCTCACCTTAATCCCTTTTCCCTCAAAGTGATAAGATTTTCTTACCAAAATGAAACTCATAAGAAGGAAGAGGCACTGAAGAGAATCATGCACATTATACTTCATAGCCTTCTCATCCAACGGCGAGTACTATACAAAGCCATAGAAAATCGAGACTTTACTCTCCTCTAATACCTTATTCTCTCTTGCATGCTAATAGTGGAGCAAAATAAAATACCCTCCTAAGTCACATGCAAGTGCAGCCTTTAAATTCTGCAAACCAAAGTTCTCAGGCCAATGTGCTTCTTTATCTCTTCTTCCTCCTCCTCCTCCTCCAATCCCTCACAAATAGTTTCTTAAATACATAAAGGTATAGTTATGCTTGTCAATAGAAGGTTATTTCTCTTGCTTTTGAAGGGGTGTCTGGTTGTTTCGTGTTTAACAGTTATTTACTACTAATTAGTTATTTAAGTTTACTACCCTACTTCATTGAGATGATCCACAAGTAGTTTGTTTTTTTAAATGATGGATCCATGGTGATAATGAGAGCACAAAATATGACAATTACAAATTTTAATTTTGACATTGGAAATGGTCAAGGTCTAGACATGCTCAATTAAATGTATTGGTACATTATTGAGTACTTCAGAACAATGTTCACTTCCTTAGATTCATGTTTTCTTTTCAACCTTTCTTTTCTGGTTTCCTTCTATATAATTAGCTTAATATGGTTATTATGATCAAAGAAAGAATTATTATCCCGAATAAATTAATTATTGGGTAAAAAAGTTGTTGGTGGTTTAAGTGTTAGATAATAGAGAAAAAGAATCATTTCAAATGAAGATCTTTGAATCGTGATTTCTATAAATATATTATTGATTTAGTAATATATTGAGTGTGTTCTAAGAAAAAAAAAATTGTCATATTCTAAAAGCATGTTTTCTTACTATTTTAAAAATAGTATTTTCTTTTTTTTAAAAAAATTGTTTGTTAACATAAGTTTTATTTTTATTTTCTTTTTAAAAACAGTTTTTTAAATTAATTTCAAAATTAAAAACTAAAATAGAAAGAAACAAGCCCTACTTTCTTCCTCATGATATAGGAAAAAGTATACAATCATCAAAAGTTGGCAATAAAAGAATGGATAAATCGTTGATCTTTTAAATGTTTCCGTTGTCATGATAATAATCATTAAACTCTAAAAACCAAAGTAATCAGTTTCCATCATTAGCATATTACCCACTTCAGCTTGTCTTCCATGTAACAAATTACATTTTACCCAACATGCATGGTATATTGTGTGGATAGAAAAATTGGAAGGATTAGAGCCTTCAATAATAACATGATTCTTCAAATAGACCATAAAGTCTGTAGATTTGGATTATTTTCTGCATCAATTACCAAAACCAGGCCTGTAGATTATCTAATGAAGTGCTCTATAATTTTAACATAGGTAAAGAATTCTTCAGTATCTCATGGAATAAGTACCTTCATCAAATGCTTCTTGTATAATTAATGTGGCTTATGCATGCAATATTCAACAAGAATAGTGTCATAGTACTGGATTCTTCTTTCCTTACACAGCCACTTCTTACATATGGCAAGTTCACCTTTTTCCATTACAGGTAAACCTGATCTGGCATTGATTTGGATGGATTCTGGGGTCTTATTCATCTGAGGTCTTGCATGTGGATGTGAGATATGTTGCTGCAGCCAAGGATGACTTGCCGAAAAGCTTTCTCTAACTTTCATTTTAGTTAATCAATTGTTAGTGCAATGGTGCTGATATAATGCATTATTAATGTGCAAGTGTCTGAAGGGATGATAAAGTAAACTTGGCAAGTCTTCTTTGGCTACATGTCTATCTCCTGTTCACATGTCAGATTCAGATGATAATGGTCTTGACAATGATGCATGTCACTTTAAACGTGGAAAATGGAGGGAAGCATGTGTGTGTTCTTTGCAAATCTGATTCTAAAGGGTAAGTTCTTATTCTATTCATCATTTAACAATCTGCATTGTGAAAAAGCTACCTTAATCATGTGATTGAGATGAGAACTCATGAGGAAAAGAGACTTAATTATGTGCTACTAGTTATAGTTGCAAAGCCATCGCAGCAGCCAACTGAAAATCTCTGTTTCTAGGAACAAGGAGGATATGTCCTAGTTTGATTGGTTTAAGTGGTTAGAACTTTACAATTCAAATGCCATTTCAATGTAGTTCTATCCATTGACAAAATAGTGCCCCTCCTTGTTTTTCTTTTTTCAATTCAGTTAGGAGAATAATATACAGCTTAAAAAATATAATTAATATTTATATATATATATATATATATATATATATATATATATATATATATATTAAAATAATTGTTACTTTTATAATATAACTTTCCCTATTATTTCTCTTATTTATGATAAAAGGGTAAATTATTTAAGAATTAAGCAGTATTATAGTATAATTGAAAAGTTAAATAAATAAAAATTTAAAGTAAAAAGATAAAAAAAATAGAGAAAGTTTTTTTATAATTAATGAGTTAAGAAAACCAATATCAAAGTTTTTTATAATTAATGAATTAAGAAAACCAATATCAAAGTCAATGTTCTAAACAATACAATAAGACTGAAACTTTTAAGAACTTCCATGTGCATAGCTCGTGCAAGCTACTCATTGATTTGTTTGATGACTCCATCCAATAACATGTCACTATGTAAGCATGCAATAAATCATTTAAAAGCATTGTTTGATGAAGATAACATTAAACAAGTAGCCTGGGAGGTTGATAGTCTTATATAATAATTTCATCCAATGACATGTTACTATGTTCAACATTTAATAAATTGTTTAAGAGAATTGTTTAATGAAGGTACCCTTTTGTTAGAGTTGTTGGAAGAAAATATCATTCTTAAAAAATTCTATATGTCATGCAGTACAATATTAAGTATATATAGAGATAAGTTGAGGGTTTAATATGATAATTCAATCCAATAGCATGTTACTATGTAAACATACAATGAATTTAGAAGCATCGATTAACAAAATTATAAAGATTAGACAAGTACCGGAGAGAGATTGATTATTAACTATTTAAGAGTATTGTTTCACAAAGGTAACTTCTAATAGAGTTGGAAGGAAATGACATTATAAAATTCTGCAGTACAAGAATAAGGAATATTGTTGGGGAAAGTTGATGGTTTTAATTAATATATGATAATTCCATCTAAAAAGAGGTACTATGTAAGCATGCAAGTGAACATTTAAAAGCATTGATTTAATGAAGGTAGGCTCCTGTTAAAGTTGGAAAAAAATATTATTCTTAAATTGCTTTATGTAGTGTGAACTAGTATTAATTAGGACAAGTGAATATTTCAAATATGTATGCAACAAAAACATACAACAACCTACATAATACTTCACTTTTTTTTTTTTAATCTTTATTGCATTATATCACTCATCTTATTTTAATTTTTTCTTTTTATTTATATATATATATATATATATATATAATAGTTATTTAAAAGTATTGCATACATAGTCTCATGATACCACGTTACTATGTGACCATGACCATGCAACTTGCAACTATGATTTTACAAAAACCAGTATAAATGAACTCTCTACTGAAACCACCAAACTTTACCTTTCCTTATTTTTGGTGGTGTGAAATCTTCTTTTATGAAGTGGTGCATAATTTTGAAGACTTGTCGATTAATCCGTAGAATTTATATTTTTTTCCTTATCAAATACGGAAAAATTTGTATGCCAGTAATTATAATCCAACTCCTAGAAATAAGTACTTATTTAAAAAAGAAGTTATTTAAATTACATTTATGCTCAATTTTTATTTTACCAATTTTATAGAAATGTGTAATCTTAAAATATTTTATCTCAAAATAAATAACGTGCTTTGAATATAATTAAAAAAATGTTATTTAAATATTTTTGTATATGTCAGTTGCACAATCAATTTAACCTAACAATAACCAATGAAATGCCGTTATTGAAGTCAGTTTCTATTGGAGTAGGAGCATCACTTTTAGTTTTTAATATTATGAGTTGAACAAGTATCGATTAGGTGCATAGTGGATAGCTTCATTCCACTCCACGTAAGCAAAATCATTTACTGAGTTACATGTGGCTTGCTTTATAACAAAATAACAATAATAATAAAGCCACTTTGTGATTGTCAAACCTAATTCGTTCTGAAAATCATAAGGTGATATACTATTGTACAACTATATAAATGCATGTTTAACATATAGACATGTAGTTAAGAAGCACAATCATAATAACATCCTAGAAGAGCTTTTAAGCCTATGTGTTGGAGAAATTAAGTTGGAAACATAATGAAGGGAGGTTTGATTGAATCTGGTGAAGTTTCCAAAGTTGCACACCCTAAAAGAGGGGTGACAAGAGGGTTGTCTATAATGGACTTTATTTTGAGAATCATAGGAGCTATTGCAACAATAGGTAGTGCTTTGGCCATGGGAACAACTAATGAGACCCTTCCATTTGCCACACAATTTATAAGATTCAGAGCTGAATTTGATGACATTCCCACATTTGTGTAAGTGGTGTTTTCTTCTAGAATGTCTTTTGGGTATCTGAATCATATGATTGGCTTGAGAGTGACTAATACAATGGATGTGTTTGAGCATGCAAATGCAGGTTTTTTGTGACAGTTAACTCTGTTGTTTGTGGTTATCTCGTGCTTTCACTTGTCCTGTCTGTTTTCCACATAGTGAGGAGCAGAGCAGTGAAAAGTCGAATTCTCCTGATTGCCCTGGACACGGTAAATTTACATATTCTAATCATGTCCATACATGTTTTTCAAAGTGACGACAAATATCACCGATTTTTATTTTATTTTTTGTCTGTCTCGTTTGATAAAATAATAATAATAATATAAAGTGTTTAGTTTTACATTTTATTTTTAAATGATACATTTTTATTATAATTATCAAATAGTTTATACATCTTATTTCCATTTTTAAAATACTGTGCAAAATATGCTAATGAAAACACTAATTTAGATTGAATTGTGAATAGCATGATGTGTTGAAACGTGTACATGTAAAACCATGTTGTACTTTATGTGAATTGTGTCTATTAAAAGAAGAATGTTCATCTTATTTTTTTAATATTAAGTTTAAGTAAATAAAAAATAATAAGATTTTATTAAAAATATTTATTATATTTTTATAAATTTAATATAATAATTTTTAAAATAAATAAATTGTATTTAAATTCAACTCTAAAAATTGATTCTAACAAAATGTATTACAATAGCCCTGTATCAATTTATAAATAACAATAATACAACAATCTTCATAATCACAGTTTAAAACTTCAATTAGTAACTTTTTTTAATGAATTGAATTACATTGAATGTTATAATTTTTAATAAAAATTATTAAATATAAATTTTTATCTTGTACAAGTTGGTACAAATTAAAAGAAAAATCATTTTTTATAATAAATTTATGTTCTTCACTCTTTTTACAAACTCTCTAATTTAACTAAGTTAAGAGCATATTTAATTTTAACTTAAAAAAATATAATTATTTTATCTTTCTTTTTCTCATAAATATTTATTAATAAATTTACTCAAAGTAGCCTACACATCATTCCAATTGCTCTAAATGCAAAAAGTTGCAACTTACGGATAAGTATTTTTGGTTAATGATTTTGACCCAATTTAAATAATTTTTTTAAAATAAATATAAAATGAATAAAATATTTTTTATAAATTAGAAACAAATTATACTTTCAATTTTTTAGAAGTTTTCTCATTTATTTTTTTTGTAAAAATTGATAAAATAAGTTATTTCTAACTTATCAAAAAATTATTTATATTTTATACCAATTCTTTATAAAAAAAAATCTAAAAATTAATCTAAACTGCATCTTTGTCATCTCTTTATTTTGACTTATGATAATACTAAGCTTTCTCACCAACTTTGAGTTTATTTTGTAAAGGTAATGTTGGGTCTCCTCACAGCCGCAGCCTCTGCAGCAGCATCCATAGTTTACATAGCACACTATGGAAACCCAAATGCCAATTGGTTTGCTATATGCCAACAATACAATAATTTCTGTGAACGCATTTCGGGTTCCCTGATTGGCTCTTTTATTGCCGTTGCTCTGTTCATAATTATAATCCTACTATCAGCACTAGCAATCTCTCGAAATTGATGTTTGCTCCAAGTGTTTATGCCCTTTTCCTAGTGTGCATTTTGTAACCAAGTGTGTTTCTCTAGCTTGTTGATCTATTATTTATATGCTTGTGTTGGAGGCTTCAACATGCACCATTTGATATGTTAAATTTGTAGTTTATGGGTGTAATCAATGTCTTATAGCATGATAAGCTTGACTTACATTGAAGCTTCTCATTCTATTATTACCTTCTATGTTTAATTTGAAATACTTGAAGTTGCACATTCTAATGACAAACATGTACATAATATGCTTGAGATTTCACATTCTAATACCTTCTATGTTCAGGTTGCTGTTTAGAATAAAAAAAGTGTCAAGACGCTTTATAGCACAAAAATTAGAATTCCCAAGATCGATATATATATATATATATATATCATAATTACCGTGCAGCTTGCTTCCTCCTTCTGCTATGCTAATATAGCCACAAGCTCATCTATTGACTTCAATGTCTTCTCGTAGTATAGGTACGATTCATACACCTTTGGTGACCGAATATACCGATCAAACTGCAGAAATGCAAACCAAAAATTACTTTGAGACACATAATTCATTAAGAGAAAAAGTTGGTGAGTACTAACAATCACGTATCTCAGGTGTTTTAGTATATAATATAGTCAGGTACTTATCCATGATCAATCTTAATTAGACAAACAATTATAAGGATATGCCCCAAATCAGTTCAAATAAATTGCACCATATAAATATTAATAGTCAACCATGGAAATGATAATAATAAAAAGTAAATTAATTAATCACTGTACATTGGTTTATCAACAAGAGAAATGCTCAGTAGTGTTTTAAGGGTTGTGATTAAGAAATTAATTAAAATTTTTATTAAAAATTATTATAAAAATAAACTAATAACACATTTAATAATTATTTATTATTTGTTAATTAATATCCTTAAAGTAAAATATAGTTAACATGCATTTGTCCGTTATATAACAAACTCTTTTGAACAGATTATATTATTCACTAAATTTGTTTAAACTCTCGTATAAAATTAACTGTTAAAGAGAAAAATTTACATAATTTTAAAAATATTGACAAACTTGTTAAATAATAATAAAGAATATATTAAAAAACAGATAGATAATAATTCTCTTACAGAGCATACCTCACCCATGTTGGAGACTAACTCATTAGCAGTTTTGACATACTCCTTGCGGCGATTTTGAGGCAAAGTGGAGAAAGCGGTTCTCAAATCTTGGTCAAGATAGGCCTGTTTGATTCGTATGTAAAACATGACATACCTCCAAGACATGGTTTCCAACATCTCCCGAAGACTATGAAGACCCTCAGCGGTTTGCTTTATCCTAGCCACAGCATCTTCAGGGGAAAGGCCAGGCTCAAAAAAATGTTCCTTGATGAAGGAACGAGTGCCCCAATTTTGGGCTAGTGCCAGTGGGATAGTGTTGCCATGCACACCCAAAATGGCTGTTGATGTGGCTAGAAATGTTGAAATCAGTTTCCTTCTATTGGTCACATTTTGTGATGCAGAGAATGGTGATTGATTAAGGGGCAAAGGGTTGTTGGATTTGGAAGGGTTTCTGTGTTTGGTTTTGATGTGGGCATGAAGTAGTGTAGTGGCGTGAGTGAAGCTCGACATTGTTTTGGATAAATTTTTGGTTTCCAAAATGTGGTCTTCTTGTGGTGGGTTTTCAGTGGTGAGGGGGGAATTTGGACTCAGTTTTCGGGCAGGCCTAGTTTGGCTGACCGTGCTGCCCGGTTTGCCAGACAATGGCACCCTTAATGTTATGCCACGTGGAACCATTATCTACTTCAATTCAGGGATACGCTAATTAGCAATTTAAGCCATAATATGTTATTTTCACAAGTACAAAATTTTAATTCTGAAATTTTATCTTTTAATTAATAATTTTGAAAGAATAGTCTCACACACGTTAAAATTTGCAGAACTCATCCAATATTTTCTCCTCTATTAATTTTTTTCCTTTAACTTTTAAAGCTTTATCCATAATTAAAAAAACATATTGCTATTCCAGAGTTTATAAAAAAAAACAAATCACCTAATTCTTTATTGTATTCATTATTCACTTATTATCTCTATCAAATAAATATTAATTATTCAATTTTTTAAAATATGTATATTTTTAATTAATCCATGTGAATAAAAATTTAAAAAATGGTCAATATAATAACTAATAATAATTTACCTAAATCAATAAATAAATTTTGAATTTAAAACTTGATTATTATTTTACTGATTATTTATATTTAATATATAAATAAATATTTTAATTTATAGTGTATAATAAGTTTTAAATTTTTATATTTTTAAACATTTAAGTCCAATATCAACTTTCAATTTATTTTGTGATAAAAAAATCGAAAGAAATAAGTTTTGCTTCTTTTCCTTGTTTGAATGTTTTTTTAGATATTTAATAATAATATATAAAATAAAAAGAAATGTGTGAATAATTAAAATATTGTGTCGGTTAATTTATTTTATATTTTATTTAAAATTTTCATATCCTTGTAATTATTATTGTTATTGTATATGCCAAAAATATAAATATATTTTTTCAAATAGTTTTGAATTTGATTAATACTATTTAGATAATACGAATTTAGTGCTAATTTTAATTCTATACAAGAGTAAATTCATTTAAATAATAAGAAATTTTTTGACAAGCTTTAAAATACATATTTTCTAAAACATGTTTTTAAAATTTAAAATAATTTTTTTAAAATATTTTAAAATATTTTTCTTTGTATTAATCCAATAAAAAAGTTTAACACTGAACTTTAATCATAAACACACAAAAAAAATATTATTTTCACATTTAAAATAATTTCTAAATAAAAATTTAACACAAAAATATTTTATGCTTCAAAATTTGTTTGTTACTTCTTACATAGTTTGTGTCTTAGAAGATATATTTTATATTTTTTGTTTTCAATTATTCATATGATCCATAAAAAGTATTTCATTAACTAATTGGATATTCTATTCCTCTTGTAACACAAAACCTTTATCTAGAATTGTGATAATTTCCTTCCATGTCAAGTAACAAAGTTTGCATGGCGATGGAAAATTTTATAAGAATAATGTTATAATTAGAGTATATTTGTTTCTATTTAAAAAAAATTCTTTTTAAAATAAAAAATAAGTGTATATTTTATACATAAAAAAACTCTTTAAAAAAATGAAAATAAATATTCTCTTAAATTTTAGCTTAAGTATTTTATTTTTTTTTGTTCTTTTTCCTTCTTCTAATTCCTAAGTAAGTTTTTTGTTCAAATTATTGTATTTGTTGTTATCATTCTTTTCATATTTGTCATTTTTTTTTTTATATTTCTTGTTCTTTTTCTGTTCTATTCATTTCTAATTCTTCTCTTGTTTTTGTTTTGCATATTTGATATTTTTTTTTCTTGTTTCTTATTTTTTTTTTTGCCTTTTTTTGTTCTTTTTTCTTTACATAATTTTTGTTTCCTGTTTCTTCTTTTACCCTATTTTCTTGTTTATTATCTTCTTGTTTCTTCTTCTGCTTATTTCTTGTCTTTTTTCTTCTTGTCTACATGATATTTTTGTTCATGTTATTCTTTGTTCTTGCTCTAAATGATATTTCTTGTTATTTTTCTTCCTATTTTTTGTTTTGCATGTTTAATGCTTACTTTACTTCTTATTTTTTGTTTTTCATGGTCTTCATGTTCTTGTGCACTTTTCATGTTTTTTTGTTTTGCATATTTCTTGATCTTCTACATGTCTCTTGCTCCTTCTCTTCCTCTTATTTTGTGTTTTACTTGTTCTTTTTATGCATAATCTTGTTTCTTTTTCTTTACTATTCTTGTTTCTTTATCTTCTCTTATACAGTTTCTTGTTCTACAAGTTCTTTTTCTTTTTCTTTTTATTTCTTGTATATATGATCTGGTTTCTTCTTTTACGTGATATTTGTGTTTTTGTTATTCTTTTTTTCTTTGTCTTATTCTTCTTTTGCATACTTCTTGTTATTATTATTATTTTTTTTAGTTTGCATGTCTCATTCTATTTATCTTTGGTTCTTTTTTGTTCTTGTTTTGTATGTTGTAGGCTTTTTTTTCTTCTTGTTTCTTTTTTCTCATGATCTTCTTGTTATTGCGTATGTTTAATTTTTTTTTAATATTTCTTATTCTTCTACATGTTTTGTGTTCTTTTCTTTTTTCTACATGATCTCCTTGTTTCTTGTCTTGCATGTTTTCTGTTTCTTCTTCTTTTGCTCCATTTTCTTGTTTCTTATTTTTCCATATCTCATGTTTCTTGTTCTTTGTTCGCTCCATATTTCTTGTTCCTTTTCTTTCTATTTTGCACATTTCTTGTTCTTTTTCTCCATGATCTTGTTTCTTTCTCTCTATATTTTCTATTCACAATCTTATTTTTTGTTTTCTTTTTGTTCTTACTTGGCATGTATGATCTTATTTCATGCAATATTATTTTTTTCTTGTAATTCTTCTTTTTATATTTCTCATTCTTTTTCATGTTTCTTGTTTTTATTTTGTTCTATTTGTTTTTGGTTCTTCTCTTATTCTTGTTTTGTATGTTTGATGCTTCTTTTTTTTATGCTCGGTATGTTTGATGTTTGGTGTTCCTTTTTTTTCCTACATGATCTTGTTTTCTGTTTCTTCTTCTACTGGATCTTTTTGTTTTTTATTTTTCATGTTTTATGTTTACTGTTCTTTTTCTTCTACATATTGTTCATTTTCTTCCTCTTATTTTGCATTTTTCTTGTACTTTTTCTACATAATCTTATTTTGTCATGTTTCTTCTTTTACCTGATCTTGTTTTTAATTTTTCATGTTTGTATTTTTGTTGTTTCTTGATTCTTCTTATTTTGCATATTTCATGTTTCTTGTTCTTTTCTTCTGCATTAGTCTTGTTCCTCTTCTTCATCTTATTATTTTTTTTGTTCTTTCTCTACGTGACCTTGTTTCTTTTTGTATGTGTTTGTTTCTTTTTTTTTCTTCTGCACAATCTTATTTCTTGTTTGCATTTTTTTCTTTTTTTTCTTGTTATATATATGATCTTATTTCTTCTTTTACATGATCTTTTTGTTTTTTCATGTTTTTTGTTCTTATTTTGTTTCTACTTCTTCTTTTTGTTCATGATGTTTTGCTCTTTTTTTTTTCCTACATGATCTTCTTGTTTCCAGTTTTACATTTCTTCTTTTCTACTTGTTTCTCATCCAACATGTTTCATGTTTCATATTTTTTTCTGCAGTTTTCTTGTCTCTTTTCTTCCTCTTCTTTTTTGTATATTTTTCTTGTTCTTTTACATGTTTATTTTTTCTTTATGTTTCTTGTTCTGCATATTTGTTGTTCATTTTTTTTCTTATTTTTTGTATATGTGATCTTGTTTTTTCTTCTATTTGATATTTTAGTTCTTAGTTCCTGTTGTTCTTTTTTTTTTGTCTTATTATTCTTGTTTATTGTTTGGTTTTCATATTTTATATATTTTTTTTCTTTTTCATGTTGTTTGTTCTTATTCTGTTCCATTTGTTTCTAGTTCTTGTTTTGAATGTTTGATGCTTCTTTTTCTTCATCCTGTTTCTTTGTGTTCTTTCTTTCGCTACATGATCTTGTTTCCCATTTCTTCTCCTACTTGATCTTCTTGTTTCTTAATTTCATGTTTTATATTGCTTGTAATTTTTTTCCTGCATATTCCTTTTTCCTTTTCTTCCTTCTAATTTGCAATTTTTTTTATTCTTTTGCTACAATCTTGTTTCCTACTTTTTCTTCTACAGATCTTCTTGTTTCCCATTTTTTATGTTTTTTGTACTTTTTCTACATGATTTTGTTTCTTTTAGTGTATATTTTCTGTTTCTTTTTTCTTCTTATCTTGCATGTTTCATGTTTCTTGTTCTTTTTCTTCATTGTATGTTTCATGTTTCTACTTGTTATTGTTTCTTTTCATTTGTGTTTCTGTTTCTTATTCTTCTTCTACACAATCTTATCTCTTGATCTACTAGTTTTTTGTTCATTTTTTTCTTTTGTTGTTATAAATTATCTTATCTTCTTCACAATAGTATGATATTTTTGTTCTTATTATTCTTTTCTTTGTCCTATTCTTGTTTCTTTCTCTAACATGATCTTTTTGTTTCTTCATTTTTTTGTTTTTATTTTGTTAAACTTGTTTCTATCTCTTCTCTTAATCTTGTTTTGCATGTTTGATGCTTCTTTTTCTTTTTATTGTTTATGTTTTTCATGATCTTGTTTTACATGATCATTTTCTTCTTCTTTTTTCTTGTTCTTGTTTTACATGGTCTTTTTGTTTCTTGTTTTGCATGGTCCATTTTTCATGTTTGATGCTTCTTTTCTTCTCTCTTTTTTTTTTCATAATCTTGTTCTTGTTTTACATGATCATTTTTTATTTTTCTTATTCTTTTTCTTCATAATTCTTGTTCCGCATATTTCAAGTTTCTTGTTTTTTTTTACATTTTAGAAAGTTGAGCCATTCCCTCTGCCTCTTGGCCCTCGTTTTGAAGTTCTAAATTTCAAAATGAATTTTTAAACTCAATGTTTTACGTGTGACATTAGTGTGAATTTCGGTGTGAAAATTTTGGTGTGAATTTCGCCATTGATTGTGGCTTGGAATCTCAATTCTGGTAATTGGGAGATATTTTCTTTATCTTTCTTATATGAATAGCCTTCTAGTTTCCAAAATGTATCCA